GTCTCTAATATAGAGAGTACGCAGGATTCTTCTAGTTCTACTGAAGAATCAGAACTCTCGGACTTGGATGAACTCTTCGACGAAGATCTCATGGATTGGCAGATCGCAATCCCTTTGGATATTATACGTCATTAGGCCGATAAAACCCATGGGATTCCATTCATGCCAGGCCCGATCCTGGGTTGGTCAGGAGATGAACGATCTGGATATTCCCTTATCATCGGGAGCCAGTGTCAAGGGAAAAAAATTGCGCGTGTGATGCGATCCACTTATCTACCCGCACACCTTGATGATAGTATGAGCATTGAATTGAATTCCCGTGCTCATAGGCAAGTTGATGGCGTGACATATGATTCCAAAGTCATTGATGGAGTGGGGCTGGTCGCCTGGAGAGTTTGCGGCAAGCATGAGCTAGATCCTACTTTGTCTCTACACCCTGGGACAACATCATCGTATCCAGAGGCTTACGTATGGGTCCAGTGGTATGATGGAGTCTGGACTTGGGAAACTCGCGAAGACTTCCACGATATCATGTACGAGCTGACAAGTCTTCAAGTCGATCTCCTGCTGTATCAATTAGCGACTTTACAGGACGCAGAATACAGGGAAAAGCTTACCGGGGAACGACCTATCTACCGGGAGGTGTTGGCTTCTGATCTCAAAGATATGGATTCGCAGACTTGCAAATCTTACTCGAAACGTTCGGAGAATTCAGACCCGCTAGATATGAAAAGGAAGCTGTCAAGAACCATGGAGGACCCATTTCAACTTTCGAGTATAGATAGCCAGGTATCCTTCAATCCGCCAGCTTCCAAGGTCAACAACAGTCTAAAGCGGAATCCAAATAACCAGAACGTCAACAACACGACATCCCGGCCAGCCCTGCAGATACAAACAGGCACCAGGTATACCCCGCCCAAACGTGAGGCACAGCTTCTTGGTGTATTGAACGATGATCGTGGTCGGAACAGGCCCCGTCGGGGCATCTCAGGTCGTGCTAGGGGAAACCAGTGATATGTTCTACTCCAAGAGCCGGACACCATGACTTCGTACATTGGTTCTAAGTACTTTGTTGTTTATCTGCCTTTTTTTTCGTCCTGTTTATAACAGTAAAGTAGTATAAGCTATCAATTCTATCCTATCCTTCTGTTCACAAATTTAGCGCCATAGGGGCGGCAGCTTCTAGCTGACCACTGTCAGGCTTGAACTTTTGCGNGGTGGGTGCAGATCACTGAATCTTAACCTTGTAGCATGCTGCCATAGTCTTTGCCTGGAGGTCAGAGTCATCGCCGCCGTCCTCGCCTCGCGGGACCTTGTGGCGGCTGGTAGAGCGCCGGGCTGTAGATTCATGCACCTCGCCGGCTCGAGCTGATGTGAAACAATAGAGAAGTATTGCCGCGGTGTACTGTACCCTTGTACGATCAGGGTAGCAACCGCGGTATTCCTTGAAGTCTCGACACCAAAGCTGACTTAGCAGAATAGTCAGATCATTTGGAGAGAGCCCGTCTCTAGACATCTCAGCATCTGGAAGGCCAACCAGGTGCGTCAAGTCAGAGATAATAAACTTTAAGCCTGGTTAGTAACTAAATTCAGATGAGAACGAGTTACTTTACTTCTCTTAGAGTGATAGACATGCTCTCAGGGACAATAAAATCTCTTGACCGAGCCAAAGCAGCCTCGAAGTTCCGCCGAAAATGCTCTACAGTTTCTGGTACGGGCTTTTCCTTAATACGGCCCCGTGTTATCCTTGCATAATATTCCAAGAAACCTTTGTATGTTCTAATATCGAGCGGGAAGCAGGCGGCAGGATGCAGGTCAAGAAATCTAGTCCAAGAGTTAGTCGCGCCCCTGATGCTTCTGCAATGGTACTTTCTCATCAAAAAGCTTTAAAGTCCTTTCGTATCCCTTGATTGTTCGAGGAAGGACTGCCCGCTTGAGCTCCTTATTGCTATGGGTGTCAAGATTGATCACAGGTTTGACCTTTGGTTCTCGCTGTTGTGGCATTCTGTCTAGCTAACCTTGGGCGTGCAAGAAAAAGAGAGATGGAAGAAGTCTAGCAAAAGTGCGACCGTCCTTTTTTTTTACAGAGAGAGCTCACCCATATATGCCATTTTGCGCATTTGTGACAATGCATCTTAAGTTAGTCTGGGTACGGGTTATTCAGGCGCCTGAATCGGCCCCTGAAGGCGCTGGAACGTGGGCGGCAAAGCAGCCACAGGCCAGCAGCGGCGGTGGGTGAGCAGTGCCATATACATGCTGTTGTATGTTTTTTNAATTTGACCCTCCATTCGCTGGGGTATCCCATGAATTTTATACGCTCCCAAATAAAGTCTCGAACATCCTCAAAGCGCTACGTATGTCTCAGTAAGCAGTCGCCGTATTGAGAGGCATCATATGTGGAGACGTACTGCAGTTGACCTAAAGAACTGGAAATCTCTCACAGCCTTTGACAGCTGTTCCCCTGCGTTGTACCAGTTTTGAGTCTCTATCCATCCACAACGATAAGCCAAGTTTTGTTGGGAATTCATTTCCCTATTTAGCCTATCCAATGATGCCCTGGCTCCTCCACGTTGTTCCTGATCTCCCCAAAGAACCAAGTGGATATCGTTTTTCGCCCTTTCCCATATTGGCATTACGGTAGCAAAATCCTCCTCTGCGCAGGGATAGGCACGTTCTGTCTCATCATAGTGAATGAAGAGGCCATATGGGCCATCGTCTTTATTTCGTCTTGACAGACCGCCCGGTCCTTCCGTCAAGGCTCGATAGCCTCTTGGAGGGGCATGATATCTCGGTATTATTAAGGACATATCCGCGTTGTAGATTATAAGGCTGCTAGAATGACTGGGGTCTTAGCCTTTTCCAGCCAGGTCTTAGCGGGTAAAGAAGGTTGTTTTGTAGTATACGCCAAAACTCTCTTTTCCACAAATGCTACCTTGTGAGGATGTAGCTTTTGAACGCACATGCTATAAAATCGTCTGAAATACCACACTAAAGCCTAACTTGTTTCTACTCCATCTCTGCCGCTAGTGGGATTGAAAACAGCATGGAACCTCGGAGGAGTACAAGCGGCACACCCCCGAGGACGCTGGATCCGTCAGCGGTTAACGTTTATCGGGACGCATGGCCCTCTGTTAAGGACTTAATTTGGGGCTTTGTCAATGAACATAGACAGGCTGAGAGAAAATTACGACGCTTTAACCAAATTCTTCATGGCTTTAAAATCAAGCCTGAGGTATATGTTCGGATTTCTGAGCGACTTCTTCAAGCCGCGTTGCGTGTGTTACAGATAAATGATAACAACGATTATCGAACTATCCGCGACCACTACAATCGCCTTTGGCAAGCCGCACGCTACCCAGAAGAATTCAGAATCAAGGACCACGACTTCAGGGAATTCTGCAATATTGTAAGGGTTTTATTAGAGGAGGAGGAGGAACGTATTCAAGCGGAGCAAGCGGAGGAAGAAGAAATCGGGCCCGAAGTGGGTAACTACGCTACCAATGAGCAAACCACTCCTAATCGGCAGTATGGACAGGAGGATGAATATGACACTGATGAGCTTAATGACTCCTACGCGCCACACAACCCGGAGGAGCGCCATGCCGGCCCAGGTCCGGACGATTACGTTAGTGATGGCTTCCTAAACCCAGAGGATGAAGAGGAAGTGGCTGAGGAGGCCAACGTCCAATCTGATAACCAGTGGGAGAGGAACTACGTTTCTATTGATGATCTTCGATCGGATACGGAAAGGGTTTGGGGTTCTCTGATGACAGAAGGGGAAATTCTGGCCTATCGGATGCGGGGGTCAATGGGTTATTCGGTAATTGTTGGGTACTCATGCGATGATCAGCAAATCGCCCGCGTTGAACCTAGGGCAAGACGCCCGCTGGCTGTGTACACTCCACATATAGGAGAGAAATCCAAAGCCCGCAAACGACTTAGGAATGGATAATATCGAAATAGAAGCCATATAACCGGGTTCGGTCTCATTGCATGGAAGGTGGATGGAAGGTATGATGAAGACCCAACAAGTGTCTTACGACCTTCTAGGAAGGCCTATTATCCGGAGACCTATGTTCAAGTCTATTGGAAAGACCAAGACTGGACATGGGAGTCTCGTGATGGCTTGCGTTTTGTCTACGGTGGAGACCCGTACAAGGTTGATGTCTTAATTTATCGTCAGGCAATTTCACAGGAGGGCAACTACCAAGAAGCCCTAACTGGATACAGGCCCGAATACCCAGATGGTTCTTCAATGGCGAACAAGCACTGGAGAAACGAGAATGCACTAGGTGGGGCATATTGGTTACACCCTAGGGCCAAAGAGACCAAGCGCGCAGTCAAACTAGAGGAGGAGGATGCTATTGATATCAAAGTCAAGGACGAAGACGATTTCCTAGACGAACAACAATTCGCTGGGGACTTCGAGCACGGGTCTTTGGGAGATGAGCCTGAGCTTGATACTAACCAGCTCCGGGCCGAACAGTCGGCGGAGAACGGGCGCCGTAACCCCCGCTCTGGTTGGTATCCAGCTGGGAACGACAACCAGATAGATGAAGAGCGTCTTGCTACAACCCCGGAACAGCGTGACCTACCATATACGCTTCCAGAGAGACGAAGGAGCGGGGTTACCTATTCAGCGCAAACACGCGATGACGCTTCAACCCAAAGACATCGATCAGGTACGAGTGCTTTGGCTGGAGGAGATCGTCGCTTCAATACACCCCGAACACGAGAAGGGAGCCATGGCCCGTCCATTGAGAGCCAACGGTCAAATGGGAATCGGGGCCGAGCCACTTTAAATCAGTCTAGGGTGCCGGAAGGATCCCGCGGAGTCCCTAGAGCAAGTCAAAGATCCGCGACGGCGCCAATGCATTCATTTGCCAGAGGGTTTCGAACGCCTCAAAGGATTCGCAGTGAGTTTCCCGATACAGCCAGAGATCGGCGGACCCAGAGAGATCCTCGAGGAGCACACAGCGAGCAGTTATATGATATACCAGAGGAAAGAGCTTACTCTCCCTCAACAAGGCACAGAGAGCCGCCGGTTGATGTAAGGAACCGGAACCGGGCTCGTCAAGCACACTCCAACCAAACCACTAGAGGTGCTAGAAGTCATCGAGATACTACAGATTACATGGAACGAACAACTCCGAGGCAGACGGCAGGAAGTCATCAAACAACCCCCAGCAGGCCTTCTGTTCTGCGATCAGAAGGACGGCAAAGGATTAGAAGTGTCTAACAGGAATATGGTACATTCATTCTTTCAGGTCACTAAGACAGGTTGATTCCAGGCAAGCACTTACCACCTCTCGGCCCCGCGTTACTGAACTGCTACTGAATAGAAAGGGTAGCTAGCATATATCCCTATATTTACTAACTAGTTGTCTTATTATTTTATTCATTATATTATATAATAGGTTCCTACCTACACATGCTATATAAGCACAGTGCTGCTGAAAACCGGTATCACAATTTTATACTGTTTGATTTGTTAAAGGAAATACCTTAGAATAGCTATGCAGATCTTTCGCCACCACTCATACTGAGATCATTGAATGTAAGTCCATCTCGTCTCTACTAATATTATATCTTGATGAACTCATTAGGCTCAAGCGGTGACACTGGTGGTGATAGGCACTGTAGGTGATTAGTTCTCTGGATTAAAGTCCGTATTTGTCCATGGGGAAGCTTCACCTCTATGCAGAACTTTGCACTGGAGTCTTTGAAAGATACGGCCTATAACATTTTGCTTGAGAAGAGAAAGGACTGGATGACATAGCATGTCACAGATGACTTTATTATGCTGCAGCCATTCGTCCGTGGCAATGTATGCATACTTTTTGAAATTATAGGATGGGTTCATCAGTGCCATTGCCGCAGCCATTCCAATGACCCCCTCCCGTCGACGAAGGAGATGCTGAAATCGCCTTCGCTTTGTACAGCCAGCGCAGACAAGGATTCTTGCTGATGGGACATGGTCTTTGGCTGGGTAAGAGTCCAGGTGCTGGTGGCATGCAATGCAGAATAAATGTACAAACATTCTTTCTGATATTAAGGAAAGTAGCCGAATGCTGCCTAAGTATTATAAGACAGATGACTTGGGGAGGAGCACGTCTCGCTTGCTTATATAGCGCAGCTCAACAATAGATTCACCTGGGATCTTGGCAGTGGGGCTATTAGCTAGCCAATCCTGGGTCACAGCGGCAGAGCGGCTTTGTCACAATGCGCCAAAGCTTGATTGTAGAAACGAAAATGTACCTTTCTACCATTTATTATAAACAAGGACTTCCTTAAATTGCTGTCTCACTCTAGATTCCGACTCATGAGAAGATTGGGACTTACGCACGGAACGCAAAATGGCACTCTACGAGGAAGAATACGAGACCGCAACACCGCTAATCGCGTCGCTTCTCTGGGGTCTACCGGACGAGCCAACCGACGCTCTATTGAAGCAATTGAAGGCCCTCAACACACAGATTCGAAGGAAAAACAGCCACGCCAAACGTCAACAGAATGAAGGCCTAATTGACGTTGATTTGCTCCCTCTACTGAGGAATCAGATCCAAGAAGCGGCCAAAAGCGACAAAGGACCAGATGAAAAGCTGTTTCTGCAAACGCAGACAGACTTGGAAGAGGCTATATCTCTGGCCAAGTGGCCAAAGACATGGAACATTGAGTTGGATCAGTTCAGAGAGTATTGTGCCGCATTAGCGGATGACAATGTCTCTAATATAGAGAGTACGCAGGATTCTTCTAGTTCTACTGAAGAATCAGAACTCTCGGACTTGGATGAACTCTTCGACGAAGATCTCATGGATTGGCAGATCGCAATCCCTTTGGATATTATACGTCACAAGGCCGAGAAAACCCATGGGATTCCATTCATGCCAGGCCCGATCCTGGGTTGGTCAGGAGATGAACGATCTGGATATTCCCTTATCATCGGGAGCCAGTGTCAAGGGAAAAAAATTGCGCGTGTGATGCGATCCACGTATCTACCCGCACACCTTGATGATAGTATGAGCATAGAACTGAATACCCGTGCTCATAGGCAAGTTGATGGCGTGACATATGATTCCAAAGTCATTGATGGAGTGGGGCTGGTCGCCTGGAGAGTTTGCGGCAAGCATGAGCTAGATCCTACTTTGTCTCTACACCCTGGGACAACAACATCGTATCCAGAGGCTTACGTATGGGTCCAGTGGTATGATGGAGTCTGGACTTGGGAAACTCGCGAAGACTTCCACGATATCATGTACGAGCTGACAAGTCTTCAAGTCGATCTCCTGCTGTATCAATTAGCGACTTTACAGGACGCAGAATACAGGGAAAAGCTTACCGGGGAACGACCTATCTACCGGGAGGTGTTGGCTTCTGATCTCAAAGATAGGGATTCGCAGACTTGCAAATCTTACTCGAAACGTTCGGAGAATTCAGACCCGCTAGATATGAAAAGGAAGCTGTCAAGAACCATGGAGGACCCATTTCAACTTTCGAGTATAGATAGCCAGGTATCCTTCAATCCGCCAGCTTCCAAGGTCAACAACAGTCTAAAGCGGAATCCAAATAACCAGAACGTCAACAACACGACATCCCGGCCAGCCCTGCAGATACAAACAGGCACCAGGTATACCCCGCCCAAACGTGAGGCACAGCTTCTTGGTGTATTGAACGATGATCGTGGTCGGAACAGGCCCCGTCGGGGCATCTCAGGTCGTGCTAGGGGAAACCAGTGATATGTTCTACTCCAAGAGCCGGACACCATGACTTCGTACATTGGTTCTAAGTACTTTGTTGTTTATCTGCCTTTTTTT